ATATATTTATGTTTACCTTTAGAGGATAAATAAACAAGAGGAGGCAAGATAAACAATGAAGCCAGTTTTAATGGAGCTCTTACAGATTCCACACTCATTTGGAAGTGAAACGTGTGTCAGGACAACCCGTGTGTTGACCCTAACCCATTAACCCCCACCACCCGGCTCCACTGGTCATCTTGGTCTGATCCACAGAACAACAGGTGTCAAATGACTGCAGATGTGCAGGAAATGTTTAAAAAAAGAAGAAAAAATAATAAAACTTACAACAATTAGAATATCAATTCTTAATATATGTTCCCTTCATACATTTTACATACACTTTACATCTATGGTCACTTTGTATTAACAGCAGTACCATTGTTGTGTTTGACCCCCCACCTTCAACAGGCAGGGTCAAATATTCCAGTTGTGGTTGATTGCTGAGCTCCGCCACTTAAGGGTGTAGGTTAGCTCCACCGTGGGGGACTGAAAACTGCAACTGACATAACATCATACACACAGCCCCCCCAGGGAGGAGACGATGAGATCCTGTGGGGGCGTGTCCAGGAACGATTAAGTCTTAATGAATGATCCTGGAAATGTGCCGGGCTCGGTGGAGGTGGACATCAGCGGAGAACATGTGAACGAACAGCTTCGGGTTGTTTTCTGTATTCGCTCTAGAGCTCCCTGGTTTGTGCTGAAAAGGTCATGTGACTCCTACAGAGCTGCTCGAATTTGTGCACTTCAAACTAAAACGACATCCTCATCGTCAACAAAAAGGAGCGAGAGTTCACGTTTAGCTTTTTTTTTTTTTTTTTTTTCCATAAATGGTGACAAAAGGAGTGCAAATATAAATTAAAGAAAGCTCAAAGACTGTCTCTGAAATGAAAAGGCATTTTTGTGGCGTGAAGCGCCAGGTGAGGTAAAGCCTGTACCCACAGAGCAGATGCACGTGCACTGTGAAGGAGAACATTACTAGCGTTGGCCAGAGAGAGACGGGATATCTACGGTACTGAATTGCCCTCTGACAGATTCCTTCGGTTTGCTTTTTTGTCACACTTAATTGCAGTCAAGAAACAAAATAAACTGCAATATTCTTGTCATATCGATGGTTAACGTTTACCTACATTAACAGCTGGTGACTGAAAATTGTTCAACTATGGCAACATCAGTGAATGAGCCGATTGGGACAGAGCGGTCCGACAGTTTTGATGCGTTGGTCAGGATTTATGTTCACTGAGATATTGGATAAATAATGCTAAAGACATAGAATAAATGTATTAATACTCCCAAGTCCAAAACCTAGTACACAATACTTGAATGGTGGAGATGGTGTACAGCACCATCTGCATGTTTCAGCTGTTTTCCTGCTCTTCTGCAGGTCTTTAAGTTCTCCAGAAGCCCGTCAGTCACTCAGGTGTGCTGAAGCAGAGGAACATCTAAAACATGCAGGGTAGTGGCCCTCGAGGACCAGGACTGAAAGACCAGAAATGCCAAGGTTCTAGACTGGACCAAGCCTCATCTGGTCTAATCCCATTTAGCAAGCACCACGCTTTTTGAATTCAAGCAACCCATAATTTTTTTGTAAATTAGAAATTAATTATGATTCAGTTATAAATGTTTTGAGCGTTAGGCTAGAGTTGGCAAAAAACCCGTTGGTCTAGAAGAAGTTTCACAAAAGCCACGTGTGCTTGAACGCCAAGTTTTGTAGATACGGCGCTTCGTCGCCTTGTCTGAGCTACGATGTTTATTCTTAACAGCCGTCTTTCTCTTTTTTTTTGGAGATTAGCAGCAGATTCACTCTCATATTCCAACCCAAACCAACCTGCATCTACTGTTTGTGAAAAACACACCACCTCCCATTAAATCATGAACTAGTGTGTATTTTTATTAATCTGAGTCCAATTTTATTCTCCACATCCAGGTCCGTTTACTGCTAGATCTGTAAAATAAAAAACTTAAATAGAGCCGTTATCCACAAATGAGGTAAAAATAACAGTGATGAACCAAAATACTACAAGAGTGCTTTGACGATTCATTAAGGGGGTGGGGGGGTGTCTCAAAAAAACCCTAAACAACTTGTAAAGCACTGCAGACCTCATTTACCTCAGCTAAGGTCCTTCAATGATAAGAGGCAAAGACCAACAGTCCAACACGGCAGAGGTTGTGTGGTGGTCTGGGGCTGCCTTGCTAATTGTAATGAACAAAATTAACATCAACAAATCATGTATCAAAGCGTTCAGCTCTTTCAGGACAATCCTGCTATGGCTTTTGGTATTGGTGCAACTTTAGCTTTTTGGAATATTTAGCCTTTTCTGCCACATTATTCTCATAGGAAATGAACGGAGCTCATTTTACACCCTACTGTTTACAACCTTTTACTGCTCCGTTCACATTTTGTTCTGGTTCAGCTTCTTTCAGTGTCCTTGTGCAAATTTAAACTTTTTTTCAGTTACTTTCAGCTAATTTCAGCTGTTTTGTGCTCCTTTCTTATTATTTCTGCTAACTACAAGATTGTGCTTCTTCTAAATTAGTTTAGCTAATTCCAGCTTGTTATGCTCTTTTCAGCTTATTTCTGAGTTTCAGCTTTTTTTGTTAAGCTACAATTTAACTTTTTTTAAAAATTATAATTTAAGCTTTTTCAGCCAATTCCTAACTTTTTGCACTCATTTCAACTTTTTTCAGGCTAATTCAGCAACATGTGCTCGCTCCAGTTCCTTTTGGTAATTTTATGCTTCTTTCTGCCTTTTTAGCTACTTTTCAGCAGTTTTTGTGTGTGTGCTAATTTAAGCTTTTTAAAGATAATTTCCACCTTTTTTGCTCATTTTTGTTTCTTTCTGCTTAATTGAGCAAACATGTTCTTTCTGCTTTCTTATGCTAATTTAAAATTGTTCTACATCTTCAGCTAGCTTTTTAACATTTTTTTTTAAACTAATTTCATCTGTTTTCAGATAAATTAAAGTTTTTCATGGTAATTTCTGCTACTTTCAGCCTAATTACTGGTAACTTCTTTCTTCTAATTTCAGATTGTTATGCTCATTTTAGCTTTTTTCTACTAGTTTCAACCTTTTCTGCGATTTCAGCTACTATTTAGTGGTTTTTATGCAGTTTTAAGCTTTTTCAGCTAATTCCACATTTTTGTGCTAGATTAAGCTCCTTTCACTTCCTTCTGGTAGGTTAAGCTTCTTTCTGCCTTTTCAGCTACTTTTCAGCTGCTTTTTTTTTTTTTCCAATTTCAGCTTTTTTTTATCTGATTTCCCAAGTTTTGTGCTAATTTCTGCTTATTAGGTTGCTTATTTCAGCAAATATGTGCATGTTCTTTCTGCTTTCTTCTGCTAATTTAGGCTTGTTCTTTAATTTTAGATACATTTCAGAATGTTTTTAGCTAATTTTAGCTGTTTTTCAGCAAGTTCTTTTGCAATAATCATTCACACTGCATTTTCGCTGGAAATGCAATTTCTCTTGTTGTTGTTGTTTCCGCCAAGTTTGGTTCAAACATTTATTCAGTTTAGGTGATAATTATTTTCTAACAGGACCAGATTAGTTTGGATTGCTTAAAGATAAAACCATTTTTTATTCTCTCAGGTTATCTTTCGGACAGAAGCATTTGAAGATCTGAAATATGGAAGTGTGACAGAAGACATCTGTCAGAGGGGCGAGTACTTTTCACAGCGCCGTGCTCCGTCAGTATGCATTCCTACCAAAACTTTGTTTCCAGCAAGAAGACGTCAACTCTCTGCTTGAAATGAAGGTTGTTCTAAACCAAAAATCCTGCTAAGAAACGCACGACTGAACTCTTACTGATCTTTTTCGTTTTCTGACCTCCTGTTAAACTCTCGTCTCGCTTCTAGCACGGCGAGTCTTCTTCCCCGCCATCATCTCCCTCTCTCTTTCCTGACCGTCCTCCTGGTTTCCTTCTACGCCGCTCTTCTCCTCGTCTCTCTTTGGGTGGGACTCTCTGTGGGCACAGGCTGCCAGTCAGCAGGAAGCTGCAGGATTCTCCCAGACCAGCTCTTTTCCCCTCTCGGGGATGGTGTCGAGGGGTCCTGCTGCCCTCTGCTGCTGGCTCTGGAACTGATTCTGGGGTAAGGGCGGGGGCTGTGGGTAGGCTGGCGGTTTCAAAACAGTTTGGACAGGAGGGAGAGTTGGTGGCAAGGAGTATTGCTGTAGGTGGGGATGGGGGTAAACCTGAGGTGTGGTTTGGGACTGGTGGAGCGGTGGGGGCTGTGGGTGGGGCTTGGCCTGAGGCTGTTGCTGTACTTGTGGGGGCTGGTGGTGAGAATGATGCTGAAGCTGTGGAGAAGCTGCTCCATTTTTACTGAGGCCACAGGACTGAGCTGCACAGTGGATCTGACGCAAAGTGTCCAGCGCCTCGCTCTTAGCGTGCTTCAGCAGGTCGGCCTGTCCCTGAGAGTGAGACATGAGACAGAGACACAGAGACATTTGTAAATATCGCTGATTCACACTTTTGTTTTCCTCTTTTTTATTTTTTCTCTTTTTTTATTTCCTCTTTTTAATTTATTTTATTTTTATTCTATCCATTTCTACAAACTTTGGGCTATTTTATTCATTCACACATCAAGACGTCCAGCACATTCAGGAGATGGATGCAAACTAGGGATGCACGATATTATCGGCATGGTATCGGTCTCAGCCGATATTGGCGTTAAAGTTCAATATCGGCCATTCCATCAAAATAACGCGCCGATGTAAAAGGCGCTGTTTTTACCTGCAGCGGCAGCACAACACGATGACGTCACGCGCACATGATCTCACGGCGGAGAGGAAAATTCAAAATGTCGGCAGTGTGGAAGTTTTATTATTATTTTATTTTATTATTATTATTTTATTTTTGGTGAGGATGTCGGATTCCAAAGATTTCTGGACTACGTTGAGCCTCGCTACATCGTCCCCAGTCAGATATTTTTCTGACGTAGCCTTACCCGAGTTACAAGCCGTCATTTCTGACGTCACTGAGAAGCTAACAGCCGATAGCACTTGGGTGAGTTTTACCACAGACATTTGGACGTCGTGTTAGCCCGTTAGCATGATCAGTCTTACGGAACAATGGACAGACAAAAACTTTGAACTTACAAAGTGTGTCCTTCATGCACAGGAGTGCAGAGGATCCCACACTGCAGCTATAGGAACCTGGAACAAACCTCGACAGGTGAAACGGCATCGCAGGTGACTAATGCTAATAAATAACATTTAACACTTTTCATTTAATAGAAGTTAAAGTGCTGTGCATATCATACGGCTGTTACTGAATATATGTCACCAGCTCTTACAGCTGTTGCACAATTTTTGAAGCAAATAAGCCTAAATAAGATCCTTATGATCTGACAACAGAACGTATATAAAATATCGGTATCTGCATCAGATATCAGCCAAAAATTCAATTGTGCATTCCTAATGCAAACACTTTTGGTTTTTATGACTTATTAAAAATAAATTAAAAATATCTAACTTTGATGATAAATATTTCCCACAAGGAAATGCATAAAAAAATGCCTCTTGTTTTCTTTTTAGCTACTGTTCTGCAACTTTTAGTCAAGTCAAGTCAACTTTATTTATAGAGCACATTTAAAACAGATCATGATATCAAAGTGCTTAACAACAACAATTAATGAGTAAAATTAAAGAGAGAAAAATATATTTATATACACAATACACTAATAATAATAACTGAATAATTAATAAAACACATTTAAAACATAGGGTCACAGATTAAAAAACACTAGATCAATTTACACCGAGTGAAATGTCTGTGAGAAGAGATGTGTTTTTTAGCTTTTAGTTAGCCTTTTGCTATTTTCAGCTACCATTGTTTTTTAATGTATATGGATATTTCTGTTCAGTGCCCCGAGATGACTTCTGTTGCGACTTGAATTGAATTGAACTACTGGACTTTAATTAGCCTTTATTATTTATCTAGCTTTAAGCTAATCGTGCTGCGTTTGACTGATGTTTTAGTACTTTTAGCTTGTAACTAACCCCCTTCTACTTTTGGCTTTTAGCTAGTCTTTTGTCACATTTAGCTTTTATCCAGCATTTTGCTACATTTGGCTTTAAGCTAATTTGCTCCTTTGGGCTTTTAGGTGACATTCTGAATCTTCTAGATTTTAGCTAGTGTTAGCTAGTTAATAAACTGTTTTAATGCAATAAACAATAATAATACATTTTATTTGTAGGCGCCTTTCTTGGCACTCAAGGTCACCTTACATTGTCAATGATAAAAACAGACACAATATTATACACACAGTAAAAACAAGTAAAATAGAAAAAAAAGGAAAAAATAAATAAATAAACACCCGTAATATGGTTTCATAATTCTGGTTTAACTTACAGTCACTCTAAGTCTTTCATCTGATAGAAATTAATTTTCTGTTTTAAAATGAATTTTTCTTGATCATACAAAAATGTTTTAGGGAAATGATAAACACAAAGACTGGGGAACAGTTTATTTCCTAAAGAAATAGAGACCATTAATATGGAGGGTAGAATGTGACAAAAATAAATGAATATATAATAATTAAATGTATCATTTAACCATTCAATACATCATTAAATCATTAAATATACAATTAAATTTTAAATGCACAATTAATTAATTAAATGTCCCATGAAATAAATATCATTGCATGGGACATTTAATCAATTAATTGCGCATTTAATTGTATATTTAATTATTTAATTATGTATTGAATAATTAAATGACGTGTTTAATTATGTGATTATTAGTATTTATTTAATTAATTTTGTCACATTCCACCCTTCATCCATTAACTCCTCCAAAGGACCATTACATCACATTACACCCAGGAACTGAAGCAGCACAGTTTGCATGGAAACTGTGCACATATATATATATATTTATACTTAGCAGAGGCAATTTTACCATGACTTCCCTGTATTTAAATGAGCTGTTTAAATAGCTTATTTTTCAATTGCTTCCTAAACATTTTTTAATTTGATGCAGGGAAAGAAAGGGAAGAACTCGGTTGCTTTTCTTTAACACTTCATGTAAAAATAAAAACCACTGAATCACATTTTAATGTAATAACCAACAGTGAACTGAAGGGGGCAGTATAAGTCCAGACAGTGATCCTGGATGGCTGCCAGCTCCTCTCTGCTGGAGATAATGTTACTGCTCTTTGAGCACCCAGAGGTGAATCCCAGCTATAGGACGAGGAAGCGGCCAGAACAGGCATCCTGTGTTTCCAGCTCTGTTAAGTTAATCGGAAGCGGTGGCCATTCGCTGCCTGCCAGTCTGAGAATGTCGTCTGAACCTTGGGGAAATAAGGGGAAGTTTTCTCTACAGGATACTGTTGCTGTGTGGAAGACACACGTCTAATGTTACCAAAGGCAAAACCAGATTGATGATGTTTTTGCCCGTGTCTGTGAGTGTGTGTTTACAGTTAAAATATCTCATGAAGTATTCAACGTGTGCATCTACAACTGAGTAACTCAATTTAAGATGGCCGCCACAGAGGAAATAAGGGAGAAAGGTTTACATCATGTTAGTACATTTATTTTTCTAAGAAATCAAAATCTTTACTTTTTTTTATTCCTTCTTCAACGCCTAAACTAAGTTCTCTTCTCCAAAGAGGCCACTCAAACTCAAGCTAAAAAAAAGTGACATCTGTGCTTCTGCAAATATTATCTCACAAAAAGCCTCCACCTTCTATTAGACCCACTTTGACAGCTTGGTGGACTAACATCCCCCGTGAAGCGACACAGGCTTACCTGCTGTGCACAACAATGACAGGCAAACGATGAAAAGCATAAAGTTCCCATTGTACGCTCGGCACACAGTAATCTGACATGCTGCAGGAAGAGTAAAGGTTCTAACCTGCTTCACAAAGCCTGACATTTTACTCACAGGTGATGCTAATCTGCTGCAAGTGGCCTTTTACCCAAACCATGCCAGCACTGAAACCAGCAGCATGAATAAGTCAGGTTTGAGAAAGAGGAAAAAAAAAAAAACTAAAATTATGTAAGGCATGAGTCACTGTGCATAAAATAAGAAAGCAAGATGCTGGTTCTGCTGCAACAAGTAAAGTACACTTGTAGCAGATGCGTTCACACCTACAGCTGCTCAGAGGTGATCCTCAGGGTGAAATCTGGACGCCTAATTTCACTACAACGCCCGATCAAATTCCAAATGGAAAGCGGATTGGAGAGCATCCTGTGCTCCAGCATCAACCTGTGGCATGGAGGCTGCACAGCTGCAGAAAGAAAAGCTCTGCAGAGAGTGGTGAAGGCTGCACAGAAGATGTTGGAGTCAGTCTCCCCACCACCTCGGATCTCTACACATCACGATGCAGGGGGAGGGCGCTCCGCATCATGAAGGACTCCACTCACCCTGCACACAGTCTGTTCCTGCCCCTCCCCTCAAGCAGGCGACTGAGGAGCAATCAGAGCAAGCTCAGAAACAGTTTCTTCCCTGCAGCTGTCAGACTGCTGAACTCAAGCTGCACTTAATTCAGCTTACTTTTTTTTAAACTTTATTTATTTTATATATATTTATTTATACTATTTCGTATTTATTTTATTTGTTAATTGTTTGGTTTCTTGATCTGGGGCCTGAGTCCAAATTTCGTACCATAAACATGCAAATGTGAGCTGGTGTGAGAATAAAAAACCCTAAAATCCTTGAAGAAAAGCAGAATAGATGACGAAATGATTTGCTTAATCAAAAAGGGTCAAAATTGTAGTTGAGTGCAAAAATATAAAATAACATAAAATCTGAACTACTTTGGTGGAGAGTTGATGAAATGTGCATGACTGAGAAATGTTAATTGCGGTACAAATTACAATTGAGAGTGATTTGACACTCGAGACAAGACGCATAATTTCTTTGAGGTTTTAATTATTTTCAAAAAGAGCTTCAGTAGTTCTGACGTGTGCTTCAAAGCTGCGCTCTCTGCTTTTCTTTTGACAGAGAGGTGCAAAACGCATCATTCACAGTGACGGCTCTGATCTTCCTGTCACCGTCCAAGTACAGTTGAAGTGCGTGCGTGCGTGTGTGTGTGCGTGAAAACAAGACAGAAAAAGGCTAGTTCTCCACCTAGTCTTTCCTCCCTTCTCGTCGCCCCTCATCCCTTTATCTATCGAGCTATAATGCTGGGAGATGAAACGTGTGTAAATATGTGACAACAATAACAAGTAAATGCAGTTAATAAATAATGATTGCATTTATTAAAATTAAAAAAAGCTATCTAAACCAACGTGACCGTGTGAAAAAGCAGTTGTTCCCTAAACCTCAAAGCTAGCTGTGCTAACTCGGCAGCAACAACTGCAATCAAGCGTTTTCACATCTAGTGGGTCTTTAATGTCTTTGTGGAGGAATTTTGTTGTCGTGCTTTTTATCATTGTCCTGCTGCTCCAAGTGAGCTTGATCTTAGTAACGCCACGAGCCGATGGCCGGATATTCTCATTCAGGATTTTCTGATAGAGCAGAATTCATGTTTTTATTATCAATTACAACAAGCAGCCCCAGACCATTACACTACCTCTGCTGTGTTGGACTGTTGGTCTCTTTCTTACTGTTGAACCATGAGCTCTGACTGTAACTGAGGTTAGTGTGGTCTGCAGAGCTTTTGGTGTTCTGGGTTCTTATGGGAGGTCTTGCAGGAGGAGTCGTTGATGCTCTCTTGGAGAAGTCTTGTAACTATCGTACTACTGTTTCAGGTTTTCTTATTTATGAGTGACTTCTTGATTTAGCAGATCTAACAACAAGAGGATGCAGAGGACAGAGTGAGATGGAAGAGGATGACTCGCTGTGGCAACCCCAGAAATGAAAAGCTGGAAGAAGAAGAACAAGAAGAACGAGAACAACAAGCAGAACATGAACAACAAGAAGAACAAAAAGAAGAAGAACAAGAAGATCAAGAATAATAATAAGAAGACAATAATCAAGTAATCAGGCCTGGGTGCAGCCAGCTGGTGAAACTGAACTCAACTTTCCAACAAAAGTAATAGTTGATATAAAAAGAGAGGAGATTAGATTTGTATGCACAGCCAGGTTGGTTTGAATAACTCTTTCCCTTTAATAAATAAAGGTTGAACGAAAAATGAAATAATTTTAAAGAAATTGAAATTTGTATTTATTCTAGTTGTCTTCATTTGATATTAAAATTGGTTTGTTTCAAACGTAAACGATTTAAAAAAAAAAGGAGAAATTTGTAAGAGGGCAAATCATTTTTCACAGCCCTGTGCAGCGCCTCAGCGCCTGCTGAGAATCTGGAGAGGCTGACAGGTGAACTAACGAGGCACGACTGCCAGGCTTGGCAGAACAGGCACCGGCCTTTCACCAAATGTTCAGTATGATGCAGAGATTACAAATGAAGGACGGGGAAAACGAGGAGGAGGAGTTCTGCGCATGCCAAGATGCCTTTCTGTTGAGAGCACAGCTCGTTGAATAAATGAGACGAGGAAGCAGCGAAAGAGGGACGTTTGCAGCTTGAAAGCCACACAGGGATGAGAGGAGTTGGACGGTTTAGGGAGTGAGGGTGAGAGGAGTTGATATGGAGGAGTTGTTTTTCAGATCCTGAACAGTCTGAAGATGCCAGACTTTATCTCTTTTTGGTTTTCAACTACAAGTTCCCAGATTGCCTTTAGACATGGATTCTGCCACCAAAGGCAATAATGTTTTTTTTTTTTTTCAGTGTGTTTGTGTGTGTTCATTTGTCTGTAGCATTAGCAAAATATCTCATGGACTATTGCATGAATCTTAATTAAACTTGTAGAAAGTATTGGATATACACCTACAATGGATCCACTTAAGAGTCAGTCCAATTCAAGTTGTGTAATATAAAACAAAAATAACTTGGATAATTTTGTAGATACTGAGCTAAAATTTGGTGTGGTAGTAGCTGAGAGTCATCCTTAACTCATAATTATGACTGCTAACATATCTTACAATATCTCCCATTGTTGTACAGGACTGTACACAAGGTTTGACTGAAACGGCTATAACTCCATCCTCTCTCATCATAAGGACATTTTAGTTTAATATTAAATCAAAACAAGACGTTCAAACCAAAATAAATATTCAGCACCTCCAAATCTGAGGTCATGGTCCTCAGTCAGAAAAGGGTGGATTGCCCTTTCTGGGTTGAGGGTAGAGTTGGCATTTCTAACCCAAACCTGAAACCCGTCCCAGACCAACCTGGATTAGGGCCGGTCCGGGCCATTATAATGTGATTAATGTGCAGGCCGGGCCGGTCTCAGGCTTTGATGCGGTTTTACGAATCAAACAGCACAAATAAAACTTAAGAATGCACAATATAACATTGAGTTAATCTACTTGTTGAGGAGGAGGCAGGTCCAACCGACCGGTTTAAAGAGGTTTTAAAAAGTCGCATTAAGCTCAGATGGACAACCTGTCACCGATCGAGCGCTTCCGCTGATTGAAATGGACTTGCGACTTGTCCAGGATGTGTCCCGACTCTCGCACAGAGATGGCTGGATATGGGCACCAGCGACTCCCGCGACCCGAAAAGGAAGAAGCGGGTAAAGATAATGGATGGATGGATCAATCAGCTGATCACCGGCTGCGCGCGTCTCCGCACCTGCTGTCATCTGCGGTGAAGGAAGTTGCAGCATCTACAAAAGTCGAAGCGAGCAGCGCGTTCAACGAAAACAGCCTTGTTCTATATTTTTCCAAAAGATTTTGCTCTAAAAATATTTTTGTTCATCTGTGTAATAGCCGATCTTTAGAGTAGATTTTTTCAGGCTATTCGTTTTTATGTTAATATCCATTTGGTGAAACAAGAAATGTCATATCTTCCTTTCATTGAAATGTGTTTTTAAAATATCATGCCAAACTGATTTGCTTACAAGCACTTGTTACAGTTAATTTGATCGGATCGGGTTGTGTCAGAAAAAATGGCTACGGACTGGGGCTGGGCCCGGGTCGGATTTTTTAGGCCTGAATGCAACTCTAGTTGGGGGTGATTTTCTGCCTCAAGTGGAGGAGTATAGTCTTTTGAGGTTTTCTTCACGAGTGATGGAAGACTGGAGCAGGACATCAACAAACGGATCTGTGTGGCTACCGCTGTATTGTGGACTCTGTGCCGGTTCGTTGTGGTGAAGAAGTAGCTGAGCTGTAAGGCAAAGCTCTATGTTGGTTCGTCTACATTCCTACCCTCACCTCACCTAGACGTTGGTTAGTGACCGAAAGAACGAGATCACAGATACAGACATTTGAAACAAGTTCATGCTGGAGGGACTACGTCTCTCGATTGGCCTGAGAGGATTGGAGTCCTCCCAGAAGAGCGGGAAGAGGTGGCTGTGGAAAAAACATGTCTAGGTTTCCCTACTTAAGCTGCTGCCCCCACAACCCGACTCCAGAACAAGTGGAACAAAATGGATTGATGCTTAATATTCATAAAAAAACAGTTAATTTTTTACAAAACTGAAAATAACAAAGTGCCTTTGAAACTCTGCCAACAGGAAAACATACAACGTGAATATTGTCGTTTCCCCGAAGTAGATACCTTTTAATAAATATAAATTTTAAACAATTCTAATTATTAATTGCAGCTCTTTTAGTGCGACATTGTCTTGAGAATCAAACTCTTCTAACTAAAACTTGAGTAGAAAGCTGAACCATCAGATCTTCTTCAGGTGGTAGTAAATAAAGGAAACAACATCCTGTCTGATGTGTCTGTGTTTAGCTGAGTCAGCTGTGCACCGCCAGCGATCACGAGATGAGAACTGAGCTGCTTTATCTCTCGCGTCACAGGGCAGGCAGTGACAAGAACGCCTTTTTCTCAGCATCTTTAAAGCTTTGGGGCCTTGAGCTAACTAATTGCGTGTAGTTGCACTTCTTCCAACAAGTGTGAACAATCCTATCAAGTCTTGTCAAGATAGATACACGAGAAAACAAATAAAACAACGCTTGGAATCAAAGTTAATTACTTAAGAGATTTAGGGATTAGAGAAGAGAGGAACACAATTAGCCCAAGAAGCTCCCCATAAGACACCATGAGGTTAAATCTCAGCTACAGTGTCTGGGATTGCTTATTCAGCTGGTTAAAGTCTTCAGAATAATCTCTGAGGTGCCTATCAATCAGTGTTCATAGCTACAGTTTAGATCATTTGGATTTGTATATATTCAAGAGGAACTTGGTTGTAGGAGGCGATGTTTGCTCACCTTAAGCACAGTGATGTTCCAAGCATAGCTCTCCATGGCCTTCTGAAGTTTACGGCCCTTCAGACCCTCCTTCGCTCCAATCCGATGCAGGTCTTCGTGGAAGTCCAGACCTGAGCAGATGTATGAATGGACGCAAAAAGGAAACAAAGATATCAACATGTTAGGACGTCATAATCTACCTTGGAGAATAATTGTCAGGGATTTTTTTGTCAAATGTTATGGATATTATTATTTCTATGGCTGAGAATATTCTTCCTCTCTGTCCTGAGAACAAAAAACCAAAACAAGTTGGAACCCTCTCCCAAGACACCATCTTATCTCTGCCCATGAACCATACGTTTGTGTAAACGGAGAGTGCTGTACGGAGGCTGCAGCTAGCTTCAAGGACACCCCATGAACTATGTTGAACTCTGAGCTGAGACGGTTATAAAAACAAGCAGATAACGCGGCTCGTGGTTTATATTCCTGTATACATCTACAGGTGTGTATGTTTATATATAAGTATGTAACCTGTCCTGAAATCTGACCTTGAAAGTAAAATGCCAGAGATTAATCTTCAGCTGCCGTAATCTGTGGTTCTTTTGAGTAAACAACGTCGGAGAATGAGAGAATTTCTCCAACAATATTTGTAATATACAATGTATTAACTCTTTACACTACGCTGAAAAAAGTGCAAACGCTTTAAAGAATGGCGACATGGAGGACAGCTGCTCTCTTTAAGCCTTTTATGAGGTAGTTCAGGAATAACTAAATTAGTCCCGTCTTGTTAAGACTTCTATTGAGTTAAGTAAAGCGAGTTTTGAATGGAAGGAGCGAGCCCGAGTCTGCATATGTGGTCTCGTTGGGCGGCCACCATTTGAGACTAGTTGGCAACTCAAAGAAAATTAAGTAACCCAAGAAATTACAACAGTGGTCTCACTGCATTCTGAGTGTTTTCAACCAGTAAGCTGTGAGGTTGTGTTTTGGGCGGCCAATTTAAAAAAACTGACGGCCTCCTTTGGATTTGCAAAACTGTATTCTAAAGCTTGAACCTTGTTTTGTTGCCCACTTCCATCGCATCATACCAGCCTTGTCTTTTTAGGGGATCCACCATGGACACCAAAACTATTTGCAGCTTTGACTTCTGTATGAGTCATAATTAGAAACAAAGGCAGCAGAAAATATGGTGTTACTATACTACACAGATATAGTGATTGAGTAAAGAAAAGATAAACCACGAAAGATGAGTTGACAGAGAAATGCACGTTTATTTTGTCCTTACTACATATTTGTGTGAGTATGTGGGAAAATATTTATACAGTAGTCCCTCGCTACTTTGCAGTTCGTTTTCGTGGACTCGCTCTATTGTGGTTTTTCAAAATAAGATTGGACATGACCACACTTATTGATGGATGAGCCACACGATCAGACTGGAATTTTTATTTAAAATAAATTATTTTAAATTATTTAGCACCTGCTGCACCTTTTGTGCAGCCCAAGCTGCAGGAGAAGCTTCCTCCTGCAGCTGATCAGCTGATCTCCGCTCTGCAGTGGAGAAGTGGGCGTGGCCAAGACCAGCACAAGGCAGAGTGCAGTTGCAAGTAGAGAGCTGGAATCATGACATTCTGTGCTCTTTCAGAGAGTTTAGAGTTATTTAGAATATTGCAAGAGTATGGGAAGGGTTTAAAACAACATGTACCTG